CTTTCACATTTCAATCTCCAAATCATCTGGAATTAATCTTAATGTGTATTGTGAGATGGGAGTAAAATTCCACTTTTTTTCCCATTCAGACATCCAATGGATCCAACGCTATTTTTTTTTCAATACTTTCTTTCCCCACTACCCTGCTCTGTCACCCTTGTCATAAATGAAGTGTCCGTGTATTGAGTCTGTATATTCCTTAATAATAGGGATATTAGCATGCATTCGTTAATACACTTGAACACTCTACTCTGTCCCACTGGACTATTAGTCTATTCCTGATCTTGACTTTTTTTTTTTTTTGAGAAAAAAAAGAGGGGAGGAGACAAGGGAGAAGGAGAGAGAAAATCTTAAACAGGTTCCACTCTCAACATGGAACCCAATGCAGAGCTCGATCTCATGACCCTAAGATCATGACCTGATCTGAAATCAAGAGTCAGATGCTTAACTGACTGAGCCATCCAGATGTCCCAGTCCTATCTTAATTTCTATAGTTTTGTAAGTCTATATTCAGTAGAGGAAGACATCCCACCTGACTTGTCTTCTTCAAAATTAACTGGGATATTTTGGATACTTTGCATTTCATATAAACTTCAGAATCACAGCAAGATCTTGGGAAGATTTAAGTCTGGATTCACTTTAACATTCCTTCTTCAGTCCTGCAGGACCTACATTGACAGCTTCCTTTCATACCATGGGAACAGTATAAGATTCAAGCATGCTTATTGGTCTCAACTGGTACCAAAAGATTGGGATTATTCCCTGCATATTTTCAGACCACAATTCTTTGAAACTAGAACTCAATCACAAGAGGAAAGTCAGAAAGAACTCAAATGCATGGAGGCTAAAGAGCATCCTACTAAAGAATGAATGGGTCAACCAGGAAATTAAAGAATTTAAAAAATTCATGGAAACTAATGAAAATGAAAACATAACTGTTCAAAATCTTTGGGATACAGCAAAGTCTGTTCTAAGAGGTAAGTATATAGCAATACAAGCCTTTCTCAAGAAACAAGGAAGGTCTCAAATACACAACCTGACCCTACACCTAAAGGAGCTAGAGAAAAACAGCAAATAAAGCCTAAACCCCACAGGAGAAGAGAAATAATAAAGATCAGAGCAGAAATCAATGAAATAGAAACCAAAAGAACAGTAGAACAGATCAATGAAACTAGGAGCTGGTTCTTTGAAGGAATAAACAAGATTGATAAACCCATCGCCAGACTTACCAAAAAGAAAAGAGAAATGACCTAAATCAACAAAATCATGAATGAAAGAGGAGAGATCACAACCAACACCAAAGAAATATGAACAATTATAAGAACATATTATGAACAACTATATGCCAGCAAATTAGATAATCTGGAAGAAATGGATGCATTCCAACTACCAAAATTGAACCAGGAAGAAATAGAAAACCTGAACAGACCTATAACCCCTAAGGAAATTGAAGTAGTCATGAAAAATCTCCCAACAAACAAAAGCCCAGGGCCAGATAGCTACCCAAGGGAATTCTACCAAACATTTTAAGAAGAATTAATACCTATTCTCCTGAAACTGTTCCAAAAAATAGAAATGGAAGGAAAACTTCCAAACTTGTTTTATGAGGCCACCATTACCTTGATCCCAAAACCAGACAAAGACCCCATTAAAAGAAGAATTATAGACCAATATCCTTGATGGACATGGATGCAAAAATTCTCACCAAAATACTAGCCAATAGGATCCAACAGTACATTAAAAGGATTATTCACCATGACCAAGTGGAATTTATCCCTGGGCTGCAAGGTTGGTTCAACATCTGCAAATCAATCAACGTGATACAATATATTAACAAAAGAAAGAACAAGAATCATATGATCCTCTCAATAGATGCAGAAAAAGCATTTGACAAAGTACAGCATCCTTTCTTGATCAAACTCTTCAGAGTATAGGGATAAAGGGTACATACCTCAATATCATAAAAGCCATCTATGAAAAACCCACAGTGAATATCATTCTCAATGGGGAAGAGCTCAGAGCTTTCCCCTTAAGGTCAAGAACATGGCACCTGTCCACTAACACCACTGCTATTCAACATAGTATTAAAAGTCCTAGTCAGAGCAATCAGACAACAAAAAGAAATAAAAGGCATCTGAATCGGCATAAAGGAAGTCAAACTCTCACTCTTTGTAGATGATATGATACTTTATGTGGAAAACCCAAAAGACTCCACCCCCAAACTGCTAGAACTCATACAGGAATTCAGTAAAGTGGCAGGACATAAAATCCATGCACAGAAATCAGTGGCATTCCTATACACCAACAACAAGACAGAAGAAAGAGAAATTAAGGAGTCGATCCCATTTACAGTTGCACCCAAAACCATAAGATACCTAGGAATAAATCTAACCAAAGAGGCAAAGAATCTGTACTCAGAAAACTATAAAATACTCAGGAAAGAAATAGAGGAAGACACAAAGAAATGGAAAAACGTTCCATGCTCATGGATTGGAAGAACAAACATTGTGAAGATGTCAATGCGACCTAGAGCAATCTACACATTCAATGCAATCCCCATCAAAATACTATCCACTTTTTTCAAAGAAATGGAACAAATAATCCTAAAATTTGTATGGAACCAGAAGAGACCCCAAATAGCCAGAGGAATCTTGAAAAAGAAAAGCAAAGCTGGCGGCATCACAATTCCAGACTTCCAGCTCTATTACAAAGCTGTCATCATCAAGACAGTATGGTACTGGCACAAAAACAGACACATAGATCAATGGAACAGAATCGAGAGCCCAGAAATGGACCCTCAACTCTATGGTCAACTTATCTTTGACAAAACAGGAAAGAATGTCCAATGGAAAAAAGACAGTCTCTTCAACAAATGGTGTTGGGAAAATTGGACAGCCACATGCAGAAGAATGAAACTGGACCATTTCCTTACACCACACACAAAAATAGACTCCAAATGGTTGAAAGACCTAAACGTGAGAGAGGAGTCCATCAAAATCTTAAAGGAGAACGCACGCAGCAACCTCTTCGACCTCAGCCGCAGCAACTTCTTCCTAGAAACATCGCCAAAGGCAAGGGAAGCAAGGGTAAAAATGAACTATTGGGATTTCATCAAGATAAAAAGCTTTTGCACAGCAAAAGAAACAGTCCACAAAACCAAAGACAACCGACAGAATGGGAGAAGATTTCTGCAAATGACATATCAGATAAAGGGCTAGTATCCAAAATCTATAAAGAGCTTATCCAACTCAACACCCAAAGAACAAATAATCCAATCAAGCAATGGGCAGAAGCCATGAACAGACATTTTTCCAAAGAAGACATCCAAATGGCCAACAGACACATGAAAAAGTGCTCAACATCGCTCAGCATCAAGGAAATCCAAATCAAAACCTCAACGAGATACCACCTCACACCAGTCAGAATGGCTAAAATTAACAAGTCAGGAAACGACAGATGTGGCAGGGATGCAGAGAAAGGGGAACCCTCCTACACTGTTGGTGGGAATGCAAGCTGGTGCAACCACTCTGGAAAACAGTATGGAGGTTCCTCAAAAAGTTGAAAATAAAGCTACCATACAATCCAGCAATTGCACTATTGGGTATTTACCACAAAGATACAAATGTAGGGATCTGAAGGGGTACGTGCACCCTGATGTTTATAGCAGAAATGTCCACAATAGCCAAACTGTGGAAAGAGCCAAGATGTCCATCGACAGATGAATGGATAAAGAAGAGGTGGTATATATACACAATGGAATATTACGCAGCCATCAAAAGGAATGAGATCTTGCCATTTGCAACGACGTGGAACTGGAGGGTGTTATGCTGAGTGAAATAAGCCAATCAGAGAAAGACATGTATCATATGACCTCACTGATATGAGGAATTCTTAATCTCAGGAAACAAACTGAGGGTTGCTGGAGTGGTGCGGGGTGGGAGGGATGGGGTGGCTGGTTGATAGACATTGGGGAGGGTATGTGCTACGGTGAGCGCTGTGAATTGTGCAAGACTGTTGAATCACAGATCAGTACTTCTGAAATAAATAATGCAATATATGTTAAGAAAAAAAATAAAAGAAGAAGAAGATAACAGGAGGGGAAGAATGAAGGGGAGTAAGTCGGAGAGGGAGACGAACCATGAGAGACGATGGACTCTGAAAAACAAACTGAGGGTTCTAGAGGGGAGGAGGGTGGGGGGATGGGTTAGCCTGGTGATGGGTATTAAAGAGGGCACGTTCTGCGTGGAGCACTGGGTGTTATGCACAAACAATGAACCATGGAACACTACATCAAAAACTAATGATGTAATGTATGGTGATTAACATAACAATAAAAAATTTAAAGAAAACGATTGAAGGGACAAGGATTGAAGCTATACATACCTGTCTGAATGTACCTTACTTTGTAAATTTGACTCTGAAACCACATAAATGTTCTATTTTTACACTATAGTAAAACAAAGTTTTTAAAGTTAAAAAGCAAGATTATGTAAGTGATGAATCACTGAATTTTATCTTGGAAACCAATATCGCACTGTATGTGAACTACCTAAAATTTAAATTAGGGACACCTGGTTAAGTGTCTGTCTTCATCTCAGGTCGGGACCTTAGGGTCCCGGGATCCCGTCCTGCATCAGGCTCCCTACTCAGGGGGGAGTTTGCTTCTCCCTCTCCCTCTGCTCCTCCCCCCGCTCATGCTCACTCTCTCTCTCTCAAATAAATAAAATTAAAAAATCTTGAAAGAAATTTAAATTAAAAAAAACATTAAAAAAAAGAAAAAAACAAAATGAAATGAATGAACCTAACTGGGTATTGAGTTGGTGACCTAACCATACTGTCAGGAACGATTTAAATGAAATTAAAACCCAATAATTTGACCATACATTCCTAATGGGATATACAAAACAAAAGAGCTACAAAGAAATATTAAACCAAGGCGCCTGGGTGGCTCAGTCATTAAGTGTCTGCCTCTGGCTCAGGTGAGTAACAGGAACACTCATTCATTGTTGGTAGGAATGCAATGATACAGCCACCTTGGAAGACAGTTTAGCAATTTCTTGGAAAGTTAAACATATACCTATGCCAGTTCCAAATATATATATATGAAAGTCAAGTATCCTGTCATTCATAGGGAAGCAGTAACCATTTTGCTGTGGTTTTTCAACTTCTGATTCCTATAAGCAAAGCTTTCCTTTTTAACAGGTATCAAGAGGAAGGCCAGAGATCTCATTTCAGTTGAAAATGAAATCTATGTGTGCTTATCTCAAATATGACCCAGAATTCAGTGTTTATGTGGCAAAATACCAGCACAGGTTTCACATTTAAGAGGTAATTTTTATTCTTTATTTTTAGTTTTAAGAAAATAATATTCTTTTTTTTTAAAGATTTATTTATTTGAGAGAGACAGAGAGAATAAGAGCTCAGGGGAAGGGGCAGAGGGGGAGAATCCCCAAGGAGACTCCCGGCTGAGCACAGAGCCCCATGCAGGGCTCAGTCTCACGACCCATGAGATCATGGCCTGAGCCAAAACCAAGAGTCGGACGCTCAACCTATAGAGCCACCCAGACACCCCACAAAGCTTAACTTTTAAGTCTCATGTAAAATTAAGTCTTGGGCTATATTTTTATTCATATTGCTTTGCCATATGATTTTAGTAACTTATTTAACATTGTCGATGTATTTTCATGTTGTAAACAGCATTAATTAAAATGAATTTACAAACTTTATTTAAATTAAATCAACTGAGTCTACTTTTTTCAAAAGTAAATCCCATCTTGGATTAAAACACTTACTGAACAGAAATGCACTATGTTGCTTTATGAATTTTCTAAATGTATAAAAAGGAAAGAAAGGTAAGCTAAGCTTGATTGCCTATTTGTTTTTCAAGAAAAGCTGGCTAAAAGTCATTTTTAGTTTTAAATAGGGGGAAAAACTACTTTTGCTGATACCACATACCACATATCCTATCTTACTAGGGCCCTCGATAGTGGAAACTATGAGAGGATTTTTAGGTCTACTTGGATAAGGGGAAAGGGGGAAAAAATCAAGTAGGAAATTTTACGGTAAGGGTGAAAAAAAACCCTGAAGTTTCCTCTACTATGTACCTGCGCCCCTCCCACCCTACATTAGAGTTGATATCCTTTGCAGGAAAGGGAAACCACACAGAGCATGTGAGTAAGTTGACCAAAATTAACAAATCCACAGAAACCTATTACTCTTTACTCAGAAGAGACAATTATTACTGGATCATTACATCTACAACTCATGGGTCATGCTAATGTACCATGGGCTGTAGAAATCATTTGTACACAGGAGGTCCCTGAGAGCTGAAAAACATTTCAAAGTCCCTCTGGGATAAAAAGATTGAGATTTGGAATGAAGACAATGTGTCTGAACTAGTTAGAGGAGATCGTTGCAAAACATTGTGAAGGTACCAAATGCCACTGAATGGTACCCTTTGAAATGGCTAGTGGTTGGGGCATCTGGGTGGCTCAGTCGGTTGAGCATCTGCCTTCGGCTCGGGTCCTGATCTCAGAGTCCTGGGATCAAGTCCCCACATCAGGCTCCCTGCTCAGTGGGGAGTCTGCTTCTCCCTCTCTCTCTGTCCCCCCTCCCCGCTTGTGCGCGTGCTCTCTGTCTCAAATTAAAAAAAAAAAAAATTGAAATGGCTAGTGGTTAATTTTATGTTATGTGAATTTTACAGCAATTAAGAAAAAAATCTGACTAGGATCTGTTGAAGCTTCTAGAAGGGTAAAAGACTAGATCTGGCCTGGAAAGAAACTGAAGTTCTGAATTAAAAACAGAGGCACGAACTGGTAGAGGCAGCTCTAACGAGAGCGTGTTTCACACTCTGCTACCAAAATAACAAACAGGTTTGAGTGCAACCCAGTTCACTTGCACACATGACAGAAAGCAAAAGTTCGCGAAAGGATACTTACTGTTCACATGCCATCAGACATTACTCTGATTTTTTTTATTCTTCTCTAGTCCATTTTGCTTCTTTCTTTTTTTTTTTTTTTTTAATGCTGGCCATGATTCATTAAATTGATCTCATAAGGTGACAGGCCAACTCTAATGGACTCCAGTGTCAGGTTGAGGGGTTTGCACCTGATGCAAGTTATCTTAAGGCAACGGAATTAACCACTAAGAATATAACCAGAAATCTATAAGCAGAATTTTAGATCAGGAAAAACCTCCACCCTGTGCATAAAGTCATTGTTTTATGATTATCTTTGTCAGTGCCCTAAATTTAAATTGATTTATCTACCATCCCATGAGGAAGTCAATATGTATACTATGTATTACTCAGAGTGTGTCCTTCAGCTGTTTATCATTTAAATTGCTGGTAAATTTCCCAAAGAACGCTTTTCCTTATATATTAGTAAATAGGCTTATATTAGTCTAGATAAAAATAAATTTCAAGGTATTGCCCACACCCTTTTGTAAGAGAGGCAGAGGGATTCTGAATTTGTTTTATTCTACTGCTATGAATTCAAATAGTTTATTTTCTTCTAAGAAAAGAGTTGCTTCACTATAAATTAGAGACGGACTATAAGATGGCAGCAAGGTAGCTTCATAAAAAACAGAAAGTGTACTCCTCATTATTCATTAGGGACCTTCAGGATCAGCTAGCCAGCCATCTGTCCAAAATGCTATAGAAAAGATTTTTAGCTTTGTCTGGAAATGTCCCTTTTAACTTTAATATCCTATTATTTTTGACAATATGCCTGAGATTCTCTTAGCTCAAAATAAATGCAGGATGTAAATTGTTGGGGAAAAAAAAAGTATTCTGAGGATCAAAATCAATTAGCTTGCAAACTCTAGGTCCCCCCAAACACACGCACCCAACTCGGTGCTAGAATACCCAGAAGCGCCTGTTACTATATGGGGGAGGGGGCACTTTCTCCTTTGATGATCCAAATAGTGACCTCTAGATTCCATGAAAAGCCATATTGTAAAAAGAATTTTTTCAACTTTGCCAATCCCTGAAGAGGCTTTTTTTTAAATTACCCTTCCTAAAATAAACTGCTCTTCTTTCCTTGATTATTTTGTTTGTCAAAGAAATCACCATATATATGTAAATATTTTTCAATCTTCTTGTTTGTTTGTCTTTACACTAGCCTGAAAACTCCAGAAGGACTTTTCTTCTCAATATGAATAATAACCAGTAAAGTGTCAGGCACATAAGAGGCCTATATAAAAAAAAAACTGTTTAATTATTGATTCTAACATTCTTTGACTCCCATTCTTAGACTCTTAATTAAATAGCATCTTAACTCACATCATTACTCAACACAGTCACAAAAACTGGCAGAAAGCTTGGTGAAAAACAAGCAAGACAAGTATGTTCTAGGGCCTTACAGATGATTTACATCCTATAAAGAAAGACCTCAAGAGAAGAGAGAGTATGGCTCTCACTGAGTCTTAGAGTTGCACAAAAATGTGTTTGATCCCCTCATTTCTTAGACTTGTTACTAAGTTCCAGAAAATAAAACACAGAAGTATGGTTGAAAGAATATTGGACCTGGAGAAAATAAAAGTGTGACCCAAGTTATGTAGTCATGGGAAATACATTGATTCTTCATGTGTGCCAGACTGAACATCTGCAAAAATAAAATTGCATTCTGCCTATGACACAAAATTCAGTAAATCACAGTAACAATAAACACTTTATTAAAAAACTGAACTGCATTCTGCCTTTCACATGCACGACTCATGTAACTACAGTGGCAAAATCTCAACAGTTAGTACTATGAGAGGAGTATTGGGGACGTACAAGGCCTTTGTAAAATGTCTGCTCCAAACACAAAGGTAGTATTTCAGAGCACTATAGTTACATACTTCCTGAATAATTCACTTTTTTCCATTTTCTTGATATATAATTCATATATCACATTGTGTTATCCCAAGGTGTACAACATACTGGTTTCATATACATATGTATTACAAAATGACTACCACAATAACTTTGGTTAACATAAATCGCCTTATGTCATTATACATTTTTTTCTAGTGAAGAGAACTTTTAAGATTTGCTCTCTTAGCAACTTAAAAATGTACAGGACAGAATTATTAACTAGAGACACCATGTTTACATTACACTCCCAGGACCTATATATCTTATAAGTTGATGTTTTTTACCTTTTTTCCATAATACATTTGTTAATGGTTTATGTTTAAAGAATCAAGGCCAAGCTTGCAGACAACTGAGGGATCTCAACACCTTGTGAGCTAAACAGAAGTACTATCAAGTCACTGATGATGATTCTAACATTTATCCAGGATTTAACAAAGAATCTCTCATATTCTACTCACAATCCTTGAAAATATTTTCAAAGCACTAAGGCTCAATAATCCTCTCATCTCAGCTTAATGATTTAAAACTCCTTCCTGGTCAATGACAAATTAGAAAATTGTAACCTAGAGACGTTGTGTGACTTTTCAATGACATAATGTAATAAAAAATGAATCTGAACATAAAATTTGCACTCCCATCACTCAGCCCATGTTCTTGCATCTTGTGTAAACATCTCCTTTCAATGTGTAGTACAAATGGAATCTAGTTTACCTACTCATTAGAAACTGCTTCTTCTCAAGTGTCCTTCTGAATGAATCTTTGACCTCCCTGTTTCTCAGGCTGTAGATAAGGGGGTTCAACATGGGAATCACAGCTGTGTAGAACACAGAAACCACCTTATTAATGTCCAGGGAGAAACTAGAACTAGGGCGTACATAGATAAAGAAGAGTGTCCCATATAGGATGGAGACAGCTGTCAGGTGTGAAGGGCAGGTGGAGAAGGCTTTGTGCCTCCCCTCCACAGAGTGGATCCTCAGGATAGCAAAGACAATGTAAATGTAGGAAACCAGCATGATCATACCACTGAGCACTCCTAGAGCTCCAGCAAAGAGGAAAAGAACAAACTGATTGATGTGGGTGTCTACACATGCCAGGGACAAAACAGGAAGAAGATCACAGAAGAAGTGATTGATGATATTTGGACCACAGTAAGGTAGGCGAAAGGTGAAAGTCGTGTGGGTCATGGTGCTCATAGGACCCACAGCATAAGGCCCTACCACCAGCTGCACACAGACCCGCTGGGATATAATGAGAGTATACAACAAGGGCTTACAGATGGCCATATACTGGTCATATGCCATGGAGGCCAGGAGGAAACATTCAGTCACTACAAACTGACCAAAAAACCAGATTTGAGCAGCATAGCCAAAGAAAGAGATTACTTTTTTTTCCACAGAGATGTCAGTCAACATCTTAGGAATTCAGGCAAATACCTTCTCTCACTCTAGGTGAAGGGTGTTGGGAATGTAACTTCTCCGCCAATTCTTTTAGATTTTAGATAAGTATTCAGCCATTTTGTCTAAAAGATAGACCTGTGATGTCTAAGAAGGAGGGCAAGCTCAGACGAGGGAAGATGGCTTTGACCAGGGTTCAAAATCTTCCACCAAATCTCCTCGGTGACACCTTCTCCCAAACACTTATGATCTTCCTGTCATTGGCTTATATACACATTAGCCTCATCAAACTCCATCAAATTTTTTTAGTTTATCAAAGAAGAAACTAGTTCTTAAATATGAGTAAGTGTTGTAACCAATTAAGTATTAATAGGAGCTGGGAAAGAAAAGCAATAATTTAAAGATGAAAAAGACACACCTGGGCATTTATCCCAGAGAAATGAAAACTTATGTCCACATAAAAACCTGTATAATTTTATTCACAGAAGCTTTAATCATAATAGCCAGACATATGAAACAACCAAAATGTCCTACAATACGTAAATAACTCAACAATCTTGGTATATCATACCATGGAATTCTATTGAGTAAGCAAGAAGGAGGAAAATACGATACACACAACAGCTTGAATGGGTCTCCAGGTCATTACACTGAGTTAAAAAGAGCCAATCTCAAAAATTCAGAATTCTGTCATTACAACATTTATATAACACTCTGTAAATGGTGAAATGATAGAAATGGAGAACAGGTTATCGGTTGCCTGGGATTAGGAAAGGGGGGGAGAGTGAATGTGTGACTATAAAAGCATAGCACATGGGACATCCATGTAAAGATGGAAGAGGTCTGCAGCCTGATTGTCGCATGGGTTAAACAAATCTATCTACATACAAAGTTAAATGATATAGAACAAAACACACACATCACACCAATGCCAATTTCCCAAATTTGTTGTGGTGTAGTTGGTAAGATGTACCATTGGGGAACCCTGAGAGAAGGGATATGAGCCTCTCTGTATATTTTTGCAACTTCCTGTGAATCTGTATTTCAGAATAAAACTCTTTAACAAAAAAGAAGAAGAAGAAGAAGAGGAAGAGGAAGAGGAAGAGGAGGAGGAAGAAGAAGAAGAAGAAGGAGATGGAGATGGAGGAGGAGGAAGAGGGAAGAAGAAGAAGAAAAGAAAGAGAAGGAGAAATGAATGAATGAATGGGAAGTGAGAAGAAGAGGAAATAAGGATAGGACTCCAAAAATGGGAAATTGAGGAAGGGAGGCACATGTTTTCGACCTTGAAATAATCATAATGATTCCCAACAATGCAATCACACAAAAACGTCAATGGGCTGTGCAGGAGGAGAAGTATCGACAGAAATCTAAAAACACTTCCCCTCGTAAGAAAGCTTGGAAAAGGTTTTGCTTAACAGGAAGGTAATGAAATGAAAATCCACTGATGTCCTATGCTCTCATAGGCAAAGGGGCTTGGAACAAAAAGGCCTGGAGGGGCGGAATCCAAGATTAGTCAGAAAAACTGTACCTTAGTTGAGAGATGTTCAAGAAGTTAATATTTTCTAAGCATACAAACATCACAGGTAATTGATATTTGTATTTGCTTTGTACTCAAGGAAGATGTATATGAAAACAATAGTTCATGACTGTCAAAATGCATATTACTTTATTTTTCTTAATCCAAAAATTTACCCAACTCAAAAATTCTAACATAGAAAAATCATGATCCTAGGTATGCATGTGACTTTCAGCATGAGCAGCTTGGAATTCAGGTCAGTGGATTCGGAGGTTTGCTTTCTACTTATAAGACCCAATGTAGGGAAAAGGAAGAAATCAAGAACCAGAGAAGCCAAAGCCTAATTCTAACATCCTATGAGCCATAAATCTTGCAGCACATTTCACTATCTCTACGCCAAACACAAAATTCAATCAACATGTACATTCAAGTTCGGTCATTTAAACCAAAAGACACAGACTCAGCATTTGACTCCTACCAAATTATTCTTCATGGTAATCTTAGAGATGATGCTTTTCCAGGCATCTGAGCTCATTTTTTGTTATCTAAATTCCTAAAGGCAATTTAGGAAATCACTTAATGCACTTATCGGAAGAAACACGCCCTAGACCCATTGCCTGTCTATGTCATAATGAATTATGAAAGTAGCATTTCCTGTTATAAAAACCAATTACCCTACAAAGATAGACTTGTCATTCTTCTCATCTTCTCCAGGTGTCTAGAAAGATACACAGTACAGTGATACCATCTTGAAACCCGGGCCTTCCAATAACACTTCAAAAAGGCATTAATTGATCAATCTGCCCAACACACAGCAGAGGTTTTTCTAAAGGGTTGTTGTGGAGACAACTCCCTCAAGGAAAAAAAAAAAAAAAAAGCTCAGGAGATCAGGCCTATAGAGAAAATATTAAAGTTATTTCAAGAGAAAAATATTGTGACTTGAATCCATTGGAATTACACAAAATAAACCTCTCTCTCCCTTTGGGACCACCCACACACACACTTCAAAATCCAGGTATATTTTTGGGCTTTTGTTTTTACTTTTTATTATTTATTCATTTATTTATTTATTTGAGAGAGAGAGAGAGTGTGTGAGCGGGGCAGGGGCAGAGGGAGAAGTAGAGAGAATCCTAAGCAGACTTTATGCTGAATATGGAGCCTGACACTGGGGCTCAACCTCAGACCCTGAGATCATGACCTGAACTGAAATCAAGAGTCAGACATTGAATCAGTTGAGCCACCCAGGCACCCTAGAAATCCAGTTTTGGGCCATTTTAAGTCTTCAACTGCTGCATGATATCACCAGCCTGTGGCATGTGCAGGTTTGAGAATCTAAAATAGAGCCTTGTTTCGGAGAGATTATAATCAGAAGGTGATTCCGGATACACAGCAGCAGGAGGGATTCCATGATTGGTCCCTGAGTTACCAGGATGGTAGGATCCGTGTAGCCAAAGGGTTTGAAAATAGTCTCTTGGATGTGATTAATCTCAAAGGGAGGTAAATGTAGGTAGATAAAAATAAGGTGGATTGGGGGGCCTATGCAGCAAAAGAGAGCTCTAAGTTTGGACAGCATTTTTGAGAAACAAAAGCAGTCCGCATTGGCTGTATAAAAATTTCAAATATAAGGGTAGAAAAATGGGTTTGGGTTCAAACTTCATAAAGCTGCCTCGAGAGTATTAACCCATTTAAACTTCATAAAAGCTCAGTGAAAGGGATGAATACAAAGATCTGGATTCTCCTCCCTCTCATCAGGATATTCAGTCCATTTGCTCTTTTTTTTAAGATTTTATTTATTTATTTGAGAGAGAGAGTGCAAGAGAGCAAGAGCGGGGGCAGGGAGAGGGGCAGAGGGAGAAGCAGTGATCCCCACTGATCAGGGAGCCATGGTCTGTTGCTGGGCTCAGTCGCAGGACCCTGGGGTCATGACCTGAGCTGAAGGCAGACGCTTAACTGACTGAGCCACCCAGGCGCCCCGGTTCACTTCCTACTGGAACAAACAAAATAGGATCCTACCTCAGAATCTTCCTCTCTCTTCCTTCTGCTTCTAGTGCGTTTCTCTCCAGGTATCTGCACGATTTTCTTCACTTCATTCAGACTTTTGCTCATCATAGAGGCCATCTCCAATCATCCTTTTTAAAGAGTAAAGCTAACCCAACCCCAAGCCTCATCCACTTTTCCCCCTTACACAGTGTTTTTTTCAAAGCAATTACCATTACATAACATTGAATTTTTATCGCATCATACCATCCTACAACAACTAGTGTGGATTTTGTTTAGTTTTTCCACACTTATACCTCCAGCTTCTGGAATAGTGCTTTAAAGAGTAAATGCTCAATAAATATTTTTAAACAAATGAGTAAATGAATAAGTGGACACATAATTTTAAGAATGTGGCTGCAGAAGAAAAATTAGATTAACTTCTTGAAGGTATTGGGTAATATGAACTTTCTGTGAGAATGGAAAAGAATTAGTTGTTTCTTTGAGAGATCATCCTAGGAAGATCAAACTTGAACAGACAGAAGTTTGTTCCTGGATGGGAGAGGGAAGAAGTGAGCCAAGACTGAATTCTAAGGGCCAGACTTGGAACAATGCTTTTATATCTTTGTTGGCCTCGACTGCCTGGCTGGCTTTTGACTTCTTCCCTTAGACACCTCCTGGAATTCATTTCTACCAAAATTATGACTGATCCAAGAGACCAAAAGTTGATCTCACCACACAGATTATTGGGCTTTAGAGATACAAGTTCACTTCTGCTACAGTTTCTACTGTCTTTAGAAAACACATGAGGGCACTAGTATCACTAATATGATTGGTGGTATCAATTCTCTCTAGACCAGACTGGCAGTAGGAGACAATGTCACAGAAATACAGAGCTAGCTGATGGCCACAGTGATAATAGGATCCCCCAGAGAGTAGAGGCCAGTAGACAGTACTAAATGACCAGAAGGCAGGAATAGATGATCTAACTAAAAGAATATGTCTTTTATTCTTCCATCTTCTCTTAGTATTTACTTGAAATATGACAACATTCTTTGCTATTTTTCTGCCACCACAGTTATACTAAAATAAGGAATTTACTGCCATATTTCTAATTACTAAAATGTGAATGTTATATTTGATATCTGATATGGTAATTCTCCATAGTTATCTTTCCAATTGTTCTTGCCTGGTGTGACTTTCCTATACAAGAAAACGGAAAACTGAAATTTGAAGTGCTAAATGTATCATGCACAAATTCCCAAACCATTCATCCATCTGTTTCTAGATACTCCTTTCTGTTACATCAGTTTTTTTTCCTATTCTACTAGCATGACAGCTAAGTGTCACGGTAAGGAATTCATTTGTATGGTATAGAGTATCTTCTCTTACTCTCTACACTTACATTTCTTGTTTCTGCTATGTAAGATCAACAGAACCTAATATGTCTCAGTTACAAGGCATAACAGTTCAAGAACTCAGATAGCACAATATGACAGCTGAAAAGTATGGGAATACCAGAGATTTCTGGGCCTAAATGACATTTAAATGCTACACATCAAAATATTGATGAAAAAAAGCAGATAATCTTGGAAGGCTGACCCAGAAAATTTTCCCGTTTGCCTCCCTTGTGGTCACAGCAATGAAGGGAATAGACATGGAAGTGTTTAAGAGGAAAACAGTGGATTATATTTTGGCTCCATATGTACCCCTGTATTCATTCATTTAATGCATCAGTACTTTTATCAAGTAGTATTCTAGGTGCTTCAGGTACATCAGTGAGGAAACAGTAAAATTAAAAAGAAAAAAAGAAAATCTTTGACCTGATTAAAATTCTCAGCATCACTGCCATGAAAATATTTTAGGCTCCATATGTGTTCAATGTGTCAGCCCAAGTGTCAGGGTTTACAAAAGCCTCTTCAACTAATATGATCAGGCTCCTAAGAAACAGAACAGCTAAACTCTTCAACAACAATCATAGGAGCTTGTTTGAGGCCTGGTCAAGTTGCTGGCTTAGATAAGCTTTATAACATGGGTCTTCCTGTTATGGCACCTAGAATATGCCCATTCCTCTTCCCTGAAAAACCATTGACTCAATAAACTTAAGAGTTTATAAATAAATTTGACATTCCATATTTATTATCATTCCATGAACCACAAGAAAATACCAAGCCTTAATAAATATGACCCTGATGTGGAGGAAAGCAAGAGACTGAGTTAAAAACTGGATCAAAGGGGTGCCTGGGTGGCTCAGATGGTTGGGCGTCTGCCTTCGGCTCAGGTCATGGTCCCAGGGTCCTGGGATCGAGTCCCGCATCGGGCTCCCTGCTCCTTGGGAGCCTGCTTCTCCCTCTGCTTCTCTCTCTCTCTCTCTCTCTCTCTCTCCCTCTCTCTCTCCCTCTGTCTCTCATGAATAAATAAATAAAATCTTTTAAAATAAATAAATAAATAAATAAAAACTGGATCAAAGTATTAACCAGTTCTTCCTAGACTTAACCAGCCTACAAATCCACAGGCACTAATGCAAACAACCACACTATGCCAGTGACTTTTTGGAGAAGGATGCCAGCTTCAGTGAAGAAGGATCCCATGATAAAAATGAGAGAATTGAAGTCTAATTATGGACCATTTCCTAAGAAAACATGGGCTCTACCCAATGTACATAAAATGACAAAAAAAAAAAGTTTTCTCATAAGAAGATGCAAGATGGTGTAACATGAAGAAGGAAAATAGAGCCAATGATTTTGGCTGCTTATGAGGACTCAGTTTAGATGTGATATATTCCCTCGAAATCAATGGCAATCTACATCATTTCTCATACACTAATGTCATGAGAAAGAAAAGAAAGGGAAAGGAAGGGAACAGAGGGAGAAGGGGAAGAGGAAAACAGAAGAGAATAAATGTTGCTTGAGGAGAGGAACAGCCATGGCTGGCATTTGAAGAGTGGCAGAAAGGACAAACAACTTTAGTTTCAAAATCCCATGTAACAGCGGAGTAGGCACGTAGTACCGTAACAGGTAGAGCAGTGGAAATAAAAATTGTCAGGAACATATGTAGACCATAAACTAGAAGCACCTGCAGACAGAGAAAATGCACATTAGTAATCCTGGGAAGTGATCCTTCCCATGAGGAGCAATGTGGGTCTTCAATCAGCTTGGGTTGAAAAGACATCAAGGGCACCAACTTTCTCTTGTAAGATGAATAAGTTCTGAAGATCTAATAGAAAACATGGTGAGTGTGGTTGAGAGCACTGTATTGTATAACTGCAATTTGCAAAGAGAGTAGAATTTAAATGTTCTCACCAACTCCAAAAGAAGATAACTATATAAGGTCATGTATGAATTAACTCAATGGAGAGAATTCTGTCACAGTGTATACATATATCAAATCATCCCATTGTGCAATTTAAATATCTTACAATTATATTTGTCAATCATGCTCAATAAAGCTGGAAAAGTTTTAAAAAGAAAAAAAGAAAAAACATCAATGAACAGAAAAAGGATGAAAGAAATTGATCTGGAAAATAGGACCTTAAACCACACCTGTGTCCAGGTTGTTAAGAAAGATGATAATTAGGACTTTAAGTAACTATACGCATATTTTTTTGTCTTCTTCACTCACTCATTTAACACTTTTTTTCCTGAGAACTTCCACCTAGGGCTTCCATTCATTGTTTACAAAGGGTTAAAATTTCATTAGATTTTTTTTGTGCCCAATTATTTTTAACAGAGACTTGTGTTATTATAAAGTACTGAGTTGAAAAGCCTTGCAGGTAATGTATTGAGTTCAAGGATTGGAAAGGGAGAATAAGTCCCTAGAAAGGAAAACTGCAAAATTGGGGGATATTATATTATTATATAAAGAGCTAGAAAGTTCTTCTTTCCTTTTTTTTGTGGCTGTATGAAAAGATAGCATTCATGGGAGTTTGAACATATTGTATAAAATCATAGAATTTTAGGAAAAAAGTAATTTAGATGGCATTGAGTCAGTTACTCTCACTTTACAAATTAAGACATTGAGAACCAGAAATGGTATAGGATTTGCTTTTAATTCTTTTTTCAAATACCAGAGAAATTTATTTAAAATGGTATGGTTCTAGGTCTAAAAATTATCTTTACAAAAGCAGAACTCCAACAGGTCATGCTTTCTATACACTCTGAAATGACAGTAAGAATGATTAAAGTGTAATTATCAATTAATATCCAGGCACATGCAAATTTAAGACTGTCGAATTACTACATACTACACCTGAAACTAACACAACACTGCATCTTAACTTTTAATCCTCTTGATAATTGTAAGACTCAAGGTTTAAAGTCACAACTCCTTAAGCCAAGTCCACCTCTTTTTTAGTACACATTTTAGCCATGCCACCTGCACAATGGCAAAAGCTTCCTTCTGAATCACCTACCTAGCAGAAAATTCTTCCTAATGAATGGTCCTCCTAAATGCATCTTTTACATCTGTGTTCCTCAGGCTGTAAATGATAGGGTTCAACATGGGAATCTATGTAGCATAGAATGCAGAAACCATTTTATATTTTTTTATTTTTGTATTATGTTATGTTAATCACCATACATTACATCATTAGTTTTTGATGTACTGTTCCATGATTCATTGTTTGCGTATAACACCCAGCGCTCCATTCAGTGTGTGCCCTCTTTAATACCCATCACCAGGCTAACCCATCTGCCCACGCCCCCCCCAAGAACCCTCAGTTTGTTTCTCAGAATCCATAGTCTCTCATGGTTCGTCTCCCGCTCCGATTTCAACCCCTTCATTTTTCCCTTCCTACTATCTTCTTCTTCTTTTTTTTTAACATTTAATGTATCATTTCTTTCAGAGGTACAGGTCTGTAATTCAACAGTCTTTTTTTTAAAGATTTTATTTATTTATTTGAGAGAGAGAGAATGAGAGATAGAGAGCATGAAAGGGAGGAGGTTCAGAGGGAGAAGCAGACTCCCCGCTCAGCAGGGAGCCCGATGTGGGACTCGATCCCGGGACTCCAGAATCATGACCTGAGCCGAAAGCAGTCGCTTAACCAACTGAGCCAACAGTCTTAAAAAATTCACAGCGCTCACCATAGCACATACCCTCCCCAATGTCTATCACCCAGCCACCCCATCCCTCCCACCCCCCAC